GTTAGCGATAATTCAATTTCTTATACGCCGTGTCTATGTTCTTCATCAATTTATCTGTTTGATGCTGAGTAGAATGGTAGAAAATCTTTTTAGTTGTTATCATTGACACTTTTAAAATTGAATTATCCAAATGGCTGCAGAAATGAGCTTGAGATATTTTTTTACATTCAATCAGCTTAACTGAGTGGAAAAAGTTATTTTATTATACCCTTTATTATCGGATTTTAAGTGTAATTGAGCAATTTTATACACTTAATTTGATAATCTGTGCAATTGATTAAAATGGGTTATAATCGGACGCGGATAATTGAGTTGACAAAGTCCAATTCTACATTTTACTCAAAACTACTACTGAATTATTTAAATCACTTTTGCATAACATCATCCAATCGATATGACATTTCCAAATACGTAATGCAATCACTCTCTCTTTCTCTCTATTTCGAAATGTCGGCGGACAAATTTCGTAGATTGATCGGCGCAAAATGCTCAACTTCAAACCGACACATTTCGACTTCTCCGTAGAGAATATTTCCGCTCTTCCGATTTAACGGAATCTGTCATCAGTGACAGCTAGTACCTCCCTTTGTGAGCGCGCGACAATCAAAAAATTGGCAATCGCGGTTTGGGGAACTACCTCATCGCTTGTCGATCCGTGACAGTCGGCTCACAATAAAAAACGACAGATGAAAATGATTATTTCGCAGTCGTGGATTCATGGTTCGCCCGTACGGCCGGTGTCGCGCTATCGCGGTCATAAATACATCCATGAGGTAGAGGATAGTCGTCTGGTTGGTGGGTGGTCATTCGACTTCGTAATTTTATCGCTTCGTAAAATGACGTGAAATGGAGAGAAGCAGAAGAGTGAGAGAGATAATGCATGGTGCAGAAAGTATAAAACTAAAACGCTATTACGACGATAACTTCCGTAATATCGAGCATAAACACCGGGGACCCGATGTATGTGACCCCGGTTAAGCAACGGCCGTAACGAGAGGAGTGGAGAGGAGAGAATAGAGAGCGCATCCTTAATTCCCGCGACTACGCAAACATTAGCTGCTCGTAAGTTTGTTGTGCGCGGGGCGTTGAGTTGCGCGTCCGCGTGAGCGTACATGAGTTATGCCTCGGGATAACGCTCGACATAAGCGCTACGTGTATGTACCTACCGTAGGGGGAAACTCGACGTCCAATTGCGTGTACCGTACCGGCGCGATGTAATATTCAGCTGCTGCAACAGTTCACTCGCGGGAGAACTGAGAGCCGCCGAGCTCTCGAGTTCGGGAGAGGGAAGGGGGTGTATGTGTCGCGCGCGCGCCCCTTCTTTTTCACGGTCGTGAAGAGAAGATGGAAAGATCGCGAATATGTGTGTGTGTGTACGCCGGAAGCAGAGAAAAGTGACGAAAACGGCTCCCCCTCTCTCTCTCTCTCTCTCTTTTGCTGAGCCTGTCTCTTACATTTTTCACGTTCCAATTTACACGCTCGTGTGCATCATACATGTCTGTTGGTGTCCTTCCAAAGAATTTTACCGTTTAAAAGAGAAATGCTTCTACTCGATCTTCTCTTTTCCTCTCTCTTGCGCGCTCTCCAACTGCAAAAAAGAATCATTTATGCCTGTATTATGCGAAACAATTAAAGGATTTCTTCGTCAGATGACTTTATATATCAACTTATATATCGGCCATTAAAGTAATTGAAATGTTATTGGAAATTAGACTCGGGTACTAGAAGAAAGATAGTTTTTTCAATTTCGTAATTTCCTTTACTGTGTGTATATATCTATGTTATTTTGGTATTATGTTCGTCCAAGAGTTACAAACTTATTTTTCTCTTTTTCTATTTTCTCTTCGTCTGCTTTTGCGCCGCATTACCGTAATTGCGCACACAGTCGTCTGTAGTTTCCAACGGGATTATTACGCTGCCTGCCCGAGTTTTCTTTCTTTTCCGGAAGTCTCCTACGATCGTTACGCGCGCGTAGCTATGCGTGACGGTTGCCGGACGGCAGACCGCAATAATAGCGGTCACACACGATCATAGATGCCGTTTCTTGATCGAACGATAGAACCAAGAATTTAATCGTGAGGCGATAATCTCCACCTGGTATCTAAAAGATTTAACACGTTCACGTTCGATCGATTTTCGACTTTACAAAATCAACTATTATGAATTGATTTATTATGGAAGAGATGCATTTACCGATGCACCGTCATTAGTTGCATTAATACAATGTACTAAATATATTGCTTAATAATATATGCAATATTACTGATTGTTAGTAATCATTAATGCGATTGATTATATCGTAATTATTTATATGTATAATAATCACGATCCTCTCTCTCTCATTTTTTCACATTAATTATTAATGTTTTAAGAAGATAATAGAGGTAAAATAACAACGTCCTATATATTTCTGAAAGAAATTACCGTGTGAAATCAGATTTCTATTAGATATTTTAAAAATTATGCGAACGTTTAAATTAATACGTATAATTTATTTGGCATATAATACAAAAATTCGTGCCATATATTTAAAAAGAAAAGGTAATATTTAGTTTAAAAAGAAGATTTTTAATAAAATAAGAAAAATCTCTGTCATGAGCTTTATTTTCAAATTATTTTAAATAAAATATTATTTAAAGAAATATTTGTAGTTATATACAAATTGAACGTCGTAGTATTTATCTGAACATTTTGTTAAAATGGAAACTTATAATTGATATAACTCACAGAATAATATTGATTGTTATAAAATAAAGTTATCCACATTTCCCTTTTTTTTTCAATACAATTATTGAATTGGGACGAATATAAATATTTTCCGCTGTTACATTTCATAAAGCTTCATTCATTTCGCGAATATTATTTATTTAGCGAATTTTGCGAAAGGGAGGCAAGTGTATTCCGAGTTTTTTTTAGAACAATCATGAATATTTCATAAACTTGTAGTACAATGATTTTTCCTTTTTTTCACACTTGCACAAATTTATACCAGTCCAGGGGAAGAATTTTAAGCGGCTTTTGCACAAAACTGCGGATTTTCATACCGTCTTTCAATCTTGGAACGACCTATTGTCAATCTCGAAACGCGGAAAGAAAATCGCGATGGGTGTCAAGGATTTTCTCACAAAAGCGATTATTCCAACTAAGCCTAACCGACTTGGATAAAGAGCCGACACAGATTTTTTCCTGGATGCCTACGCGCGACGCCTTGTGTTGAGTCGCATACAATACCCGTCGTGGATCGTTTGTTTCGCGGCGACAGGACAAGAAAAATCTTCGTTAACAAACGCTGACCTTCGAGCACGAACGATCGCAGGGGATTTGCATGATCATAAGTTTGAAACAGCGAGATCGCTGAAAATTGGGCCAAAATTTATACGCGTTTTGCTTGAGTGCCTTTGTCTTTTATAGACAGATAAAAAAAGTAATGGTGCTCGCCTAGCGTGTTCTAATCCACACGCGAGGAGGTGAAATAGAGAGAAAGAGGGAGGCGGCGTAACTAAGTGGCTCGAAACATGTTTAGCATGTTTGATTTCTTATGCAGGATCTCCGTATATATCTTATACATTTTCTTCTTATTTTGTGTTTTAAATTTACTTTTATAGCGAATTCGATGGATGCACTCAGTGCGCACTGCACGGAGAGAATTTTTTCTTAGAATTTATCCTGAAAATATAACAGTCGTGGGACAACATTGTATTTCGAAGAATTTTAATGTAAATCTCTCTCATTCATTAATAAAATTACAATAAAGTATACTACAATAATAACTACAATAAAAAAAGTTTGATCAATTTTACTGAAGTACATGGTAAAAATTTTTTAAATATTGTATTGTACCACAACTACCATATTTCAGGGTAAATTTTAAAAGAAAATTCTTTCCGTGTGGTGCACATTAAAGCCGTCGTACATAAATTGACGTAAAAATGTGTATTTAATATAAATACGATAACGGATTAAACATGAAATTCTTATATAGTACATTTTTTGTGCTGTTAAGTAAAATCTGTATTTTATAATTCGAACATTTTACTTTTAAATTAGTGCATAACGGCTTTAGTATGCACTAGTGCGCGCTAACTTAGTATGTCCAATCGAATACGTTATTAAAAGTTATATTGGCATGCGATCAAGATTCACTCGATATATCATTTGAAATACTTCAGAAGACATAAAATGCCTAGAAACACGCCGAACATCATATATTATAACGAAGATTTTTGAAATAACTTATTCATGAAAGAGATTAAATTACATCTTCTACCGTTTTCCTCCCACCCTTTGCACGCAACACACACGTACGTGGAGTTTTTTTCTCTCAAAGTACCGCGCGGTATAATTTTAGTTTGAATGAAAAATTATGGACCTAGTAAATTAATGAATGTTAAACACGTCGATGTTGGGTAAACTCGGCCAATTTCGCGTCCTCCGCGTCTCGTAATTGCGCCGCCGGGAGGACGCGGCAAGTTTAAATCGTCCTGAGAACGACGGCACGCAACGCATAACGTAAGAATCGGCGCGCTGCGCGATTACACGGACCCACCTACTGACAGATTGCCTGCGTAGCCCGACGCGAGCACCTGCTGTTCCATTTTTCCCGCCGATTCGCGCCGGGAACTATCATTTTCTTAACGATATCGAACGATATGCCGGAGATAGAGATGATCCTTCGCCGAGCATCGATATTTCGAAAACGGCAGACCGACGCTCGACGGCCAATTCATGAGCCACAGTAGTGCTTTGCCCTATGATATTATCGGATAAGAGCGGGGTATGATGCAGAAGAATAGATAGTCAAATAGTAGTTGGGGAAAAATATCAGGGGTTTATCATCTATTAGGGTAACGCTTCAGTTCCGAGTAACGTTTATTTCTAAGCTGAGCATTTATTTCGAATAAAGAAAGGAACTTTATATCCTTTCTTTTTTATTACAATTGGTATTATTCAAATTTCCGTAATGTTTATGTTTTTGTAATGTATGTATATTTCTGTTTCAGACTTTGACTTTCTGGCTTTGGTTGTCTTGGATACTAATATCTCACTCCGCTTTTCGTCGCTTCGGTTCGTAATTAATTCTTTAATTCTTACGATTATTAATAATAAGTTAGTAATATATTCTTTATCGATGAATATGGAGTGTTTAACCCTTTTAAAGAGAGACAATATTATTTTAGACGAGAACATTTTATGTGAGAGCACAATCAATATTAAAATGCCTGTAATGGTCGAATCTTTAATGGCATTTTAATCCCAGGCATTTTAATATTGATTGTGTCCTTTTAAAGATGTTTTAGTTTTAAACTTTTTCAATAAATAAAACACTATGTGTTTGGATTTTAAATACATAGCGTTTTTATTAGAAAAGTTCAAAACGAAAACATCTTTAAGTATTTAAAGAACGAAGACAAAAATAAAACATTTTAGTATCTTAAAATTAAATACTTTGTTTTTTAATGTTTTTCTCAATTTTTGTGTATTATTACGAATTTTATGATCGTGCGTAAAGTTAGCAAAAACTAGAGACGCAAAACGTTTATAGTTAAGTGGTAGGACTCTCTAGATAGTCTAGTATCAAATATTAATATCGATAGTTCGACTTCGATGGTGGGCAATAACCGGTAGTCGTTTCCCAGTAAGCATCGATAGCCAACTCCATGACACGTTTTCCTTTCCTATTCTACCGAGTGTCTCCTGCGGGATAGCCTCAAGTTTCTTTCGTTGCAGCCTGATTCCCTCCTAAATAATAATGTCTAGACGTCTTTACGTCGTCTTCGCGCGACGAATAGCTCTCGTGGCGAGAATAAAATTGGTCGTTTACGATAAACCCTGATCTCCCCCTGGATACCCCTACATCCTCTTTCTTCCGCGCCATGTATCGCCGTTCTAAGAAACAAGCGATTCGTTATTCCTCTGAATGAAATGCGAGGAGAATTTACGGTTTTGTATGACGACAAAAGCCGATAAAAGGGGAACGAAAGAAGGGAGAGGGTGGACTTAAGTAGGTGCCCTTTTCGACGAACTGTTTAACACGCGGCCGAATAAGCATTATAACGCGAACAAGGCGGTCAGTACTTGACTGCATGTATAAGGTGTCTCTAGCATTTTAGTACCATTAAAGCATTATTGATAACAAAATTTGAAATTGAGTTTTTTCAATCTGTTTTCAATATTAGATACTAAAGACCAGGGTTGGCCGAAAAAATCCAGTGAAAAAAACCATGGTAAATTTCGGATTTTATTATCTCGGACTTCATCCGACGAAATAAACTGACCAAAATTATAAAAATGGTCAATAAGTTTTTAATACGTAATATTAAAATATATTTACATACTTTATGCAAAAAGCTATATTATTCTAATTAATAAATTGTATTTATCACGCGAAATAGTTGAAAAAACGAAACAAATCAATAATAATAAAATATCATATTTAATAGCAAAGATCAGTTTTTGCCGACTTTTCTTAAATACCTGTTTTTAATCTTAAGTACACTCGAAAAGTTTTTATTTGACGTTTAATAAAAAGATTTTTTTAATATTGTATAAAGCAGTGTAAAAATAAAAAATAAATATTATGTAGATCATATTTTCAAAATTCTATGATTTATCATTTTCTTAATATTCTATGATTTTTTACAACAAAACTGTTTTCAGATTAAGTTTAAGCAAATTTTGTTATAACGAAAATTTTATTCGAAGCTTATTGATCGAGAAATGGAAATTTGGAAATTTGGAGATTGGATAAATGACATTCGATAAATGAAGATTTTCTTCTATATTTTCTTCATAGATAAAAATAATCAAAAAAGGTAGATCGCAAAATAGAAGGTAGAAATACAAATTCTAATATTATCTTCGCTTCATAAAATTAGATATTTTATTTTACGAGTGACGTCTATTATATATACGTTCGTAATTCGAATCTTATGTGCATTCTAATGATACGGGTATTATTAACCATCAGTCATTCGCAACTTTTAAATTTCTTTGAAAGGAGTCACAATCGTTCCTCGCTGTCTCTACAATATCTATTCATCTAATATTTCTCTGTCTTCTCTGGAATACTTTTTGATAGATCTGAGACACCCTATATATATGCCATATATCCGGAGCGACGGCCGCATACACGTCTGTGCGTAGGGCCTGCCTTCCGTTTTCTGATTGGCCATCGTGGCTGCCATCGATTTTTCTCATATGTGTATATGTATCAAGATATGTAAATATATGGCTTATGCCAAGGCATTGTATCATCGTCTTGATGCGTGCAAGAGAAGATCATGAATTAGAGGTGCGGGGGATAACGTGTTCATCGTTCCGACGAAACGAATTTGTCCAACGCGGCTCGTTTATATTTAAATGAACGGTTGATTTTATATTGTACCACCTTGCACACCTCTTTCTGGGCTTCTCCCAGATGCATCCTGTGGTGCGCTCCCGATATATATTCGATACAAAGAGTGACTACTGGTCCTCGGAATTTTAACGCGGTGAGAGAGAACATTTTCAGTCGCGCGCGAGAATGGACACAGGAGTATTGTAACGCGTTCGAGAGAGCTACGCTCTTTTTTGTTAGCTTTTCGATTCACGATAAAACCCGAAGCTCGGAAAGTCGAGCTAAACATTTAAATATTGAACGGTCATTCTACGTGCCCGTTGGGGAGTAACTATCGCGAGTTATTTTCGAAATTAACTCACGATATGCATACACGAATCTACTTTGGAAATCGGTTTCTTTTATTATATCGTAAGTAAATTCAGTTTATTATTATTGTAGCGCTTTGAACAATAATTATCAATTTATTACCTTAAGCCTAGATTTTGATGAATTGTTAAAAAAATCGATAGATGATTATTGAAGGATCATCATATTCTGACATTTAAGAGTTTAACTGATATAAGTATATATTTTAATTTTAATGAAATTTTTAAGCTGTTAGTGAAAATTTTCTGTATTTTCTCTTGCACCACTATCTGCGTGGTTCACTACTTTACACCTTTTAGGTGCTTACCACGTAAGTTGGTAAAGGCAAGCTTGTGCTCCAATGTGAGGAAGAAGGTAATTAAAAAACGAGTGTGAAAACCGAGGGTTGATATAGGTATTAAAAAACGACCTTTACGCCATGTCAAAAAATTGCCGCTCTAAAGAAAACTTTTAAATTAACGTGTAACTTTTCGAGCGTGTTAACGCGGTATTGTACGCGCGAATACAATCGCGTCGCGGATGAGAATGAGGATTGATTTATCGACGACATTACAATTCGAGAAATTATTTGACTCAAGCGTATGCAGGAGGTGTTGGTACGTTGGCATCGTGGAAGTTGCGTGTCGAGACAGATGGGGAATTTATCAGAAGATTCAATTGTAGGGAGGTGGATGTCGTTGATCAGGCTATCAATTTTAAACGCAATCCGCATAGTGCGATATACATTTCGAGAAATCGAATTCGAAACTGCCGATTTTAACCCAATATTTACACCGCCGTCCATTTATTAACGTCTCTTTAAATTGCGTATTCATTATAAATTTCTCTATGGCAATATTCCGGTATATTTTTCCAGCTAATATCGCTGTTTGAGGAATGTTGTTTTAATCGTGCGAGATGACATAGTAAAAATCTTTCAACTTAATTAAAAATTACAGTTTATCGATATAAAATTATAACAATATATATATATAAGATTGAAAATGCGCAAAACAATATGTTAATGCGAACAAAATAATTATAAATTATAGTTGAAATATTTATATAATTAAAATTATCCTTATTATTATAATGATAATTTTATAACTTAATTTATATAAATAATATAAATTAAAGTTGAAAGTATGTAAAATTACAATTATTATTATTGTATAATTATAGACTATAAAGATTATAAAGCAGAAAAGAAATGTTGTTTCAATCGTGTGATATGACAGTAAAAATCTTCCAACTCAATTAAAAATTACAGTTCCCCGATGTAAAATTATAATATGTTATAATATATGATATGTTATATAATTGCAAATGTGCAAAACAATATGTTAATGCGAACAAAATGATTATAAATTAAAGTTGAAATGTTTATATAATTACAATTATCACTATTTCATAATTATGGACATAGATTATAGAAAGCAAGGATAAGATTAAAGAATAAAGATTCTTTCTGTGAAATCAAATTCATTTACATATTATAAAGAAAGTATGAAAATGTGATGGATGTCTTTGGCACTCGTATTGAAAATATCTAGTCTATAATTCATGAGAATCCCCGGCAAATGTCCAATGAGCTCGCCGAAAATCCGCACATTAATCAATTTACAGTAAAATAAGTGGCGCATTTTACGTTTGCAAAAGTAAACGTTTATTTCTTTTTTATTTTGTGTTACCCCATTTTTTTATGCGTCATAAATGCTCATGAACACGTTGCTTTCTTCGTAACTGCGGAAGTGATTAATGCAATATTTATCGTCATCTCGGAAATTAATTAGTCCTTGAAGTTGAAGATAACACACCCTTACATTATCAAATCAATCATAGTCCATTACCTCGATAGCGTAATAGTTATTGCACATGATTATAATATATGATAGGTTCGTTGTTATTGGATTCATTAAGAATAGGTTTTCATTATTTTCTTTGCGAAACGTTGTTTGTTGATAATCAGACTGTTTGTCCTCTTTGAATTGTTTTTCGTAAACAAGTATATTTAAAAATGTCACAATACAGGTTCTCCTTTGACAATTTTGTAACTGACGGTTTTTTCGAAAGACGTTTAAAGACCTAATTGCAGTAACATAAGATTTTGAAATATAGTAATTTAAATTATACGATTAAAAATAAATAACGAATACTTCATTTTTTATTTTTTAATGTTTTGTTATTTTGTTAGTTTTATTTTAAACCATTTAATTTTGGGAGAGATTAATTATACTATCATTTTATTGCTAAAAAATTATACATTAAAAATTTAAAATTATTAAAATGATTGCTGACACATACATTATAATATACATATTATAATATATATTTATGTATAATATATATTCCGTTAACAGTGGTACTATAAGAGAAAATA